AATCGGTGAACTTTATGTTTTCAGTTGATCTACACATTATAAATGTAGGATTGCATGTATTCACATGTTGATACATATATTAATACATATGCTATACATGCTGTATATAAAAATATATCCATGGGTACCAGCAGTTAGCCTAATGGCTATGTCACTGGACTCCCATGTAGTCGATTGCGGTTTGAGTTCCTTTCTTGGTGGTTTAATCTCATGCCAGGAGCATTTGCATGTCTGCCCAAAATCCTTAGAGGAAAATGAAGGAAAAGGGATTGTGGCATGGCTATCTTCCCGGGGGGGGGGTGATTTCTCACTTTCTGTCTCTCTCTGTCTTCCTGGCAAGTGCATGCGCTCTAGAGCAAAAAAAAAAAAAAAAAAAAAAAAGAAATGCATCCATGTTGGATGAATTTATTCATGCATTTACAGCTTATTTTTTGTATTATCTTAGGTAAGTATGTACAAACAACTTGAACTTAACCTCATTTGTATCCTTGTGTGGCAAAATAATTTGTGATAGGTTTTGTTGTTTTTGTGCTCTGCATCATCTTACTGTAATTATAGACAACTGTCAAAACTCCAGAACAATGGGTGTTATTTCTGTACCCTGGAGAAATTAATATTAGGTTGTGCAAACATCTATTTAATGATGTTATGTTTCTGATGAAAGTGTGGGCTTTCAATTCCCTCTCCCCCCCAAAAAAAACATGGATCAATTAGTATGATTTGTCTTTTGAAATTTTAAAATTTGTTCTGTTATATATTCCTTTGTGAGCAGTCCATGCTAGGCTGTGAACAGAAAAGGGAGAATGGGAACAAAAGAAACCCTTAACACCTAGTGTCTCTGCTCTGTCTCTGGGAATTTCACTTAGTATAAAGTTTACACTGGCCTGTTGATACCATTAAAAGGTTGTTGATGCTTACTTGTAAGTCTGAGTCATACAAATGCCAAGTCTGAGAAGTGCTGGAAGTGCTGAAACGCTAAGGGTGCATACACTGATCAGAATTCACTGGGACATTCTGGAGCACTCATAGAAAAAGCTAAAGAAAGAAAATAGAGGGGGTTGTGGAGGATGGGTATTTTCTCTCATCTACAGTAGTTGAGGAAATGCAAAAAAGTCTTCTCTGTAGTGTAGCCTATACTTCCATTCATGGGAGAATGCAATAACTTTCTTCAGAGCTTCTGAGACAGGTGGTGGTGGCCATGGATCCTGACAACAAACCTTTAGGGCATCTCCATCTCCAATCACCAGATAGGTAGCTATTGATCAAACAATAGCATTTATGAAACCAATGACAATGCTTTTTTCCTCTTTTACTTTAATTGCTTTGTAATCCTGCATAAGATCTAAGAGTCACCAAAGGTTTTTAAAAGTGAGGTGCACTGAGAATGATAATCTGTAACTTGAACCCAGGTTAAATGACCTCTATTACTCTTCTTTTAAGATACAGTGCAGACTTCTGGCTAAAACAGTCTACACAGCGTATATGAGAGCCAAACACCTCTCTCTGGTCCAGTAGAAATGATAAGAAAAATTGTGAGTCATAAATAAACTCATGAACGACATGTCCTATAGCACACACATATCTATCAGAAAATGTATTTTTCACATGCATACGCATTATTTTCTCTGCTGTTTTTGCCAAGAGGTTCCAGATGTAATGTTTTAAATTATAGAGACAAAACACTTGTAGCTACTGTATCTTAATTCTTTGCAGTACCAATTAAGAAATACTGCCCTAAAGTATAGAATGTTTCTCTGCAATATTCTACAAATCACCATTAATAAGATAATAGAGCAGAAAAATTAGAAGAGAGTTCATTTGATTTTGTTTCCCCTAAAGGCTGGCTTTAGTGAGAAAATTTATCTACATTTCAATTCTAACACATTGTGAATGATAAATGAACTCTCCTGCATAAAGGACATGACATTGCTTTGCCTTAGATTCCTACTTCCTTTCATTAGAATATTCTACCTAGAAAATAAAGTTCATAGCTCGATGCTTACCCCTATATAAAGAATGGATAGACAAATGAAACCTACCACACGAAGGAACTCACATTCAGGGCAAAACTAAAACTGGTAAAACGAAGTCATCTGAGAGGTGTAGCAAGGCCAGTCACAAAAGCCACTCCACTGTCTTTATTTCTATCAGGTCTGTCTGCACTGGCTCATTCCACACAGGAAGAGCAATGGGATAAGTGTTCTCTGTTGTGTTCATCACCAGATTCAATGGCTGCAGGACCAGAGATGGTAACAAGACACCTGCCCTGACGCTGAAAGCACAATGAGAGAGGAAAACACATTATACTTCACTGCCTCCCCCCAGATCTGTCTGCACTCTCTTCTGCATTATTTGAATAGGCTCCTTATCCAGACAACCTCTTTTACGATGATCCCACATAGCAATGGCTATAACCCTGATAGGTGACAAACAGTCTATTCATATTGCTAAGGGGAGTGCTTGAGTCAAGTCACAGAGAAAAAAGCACATGCATTCTTTTACAGTTGCCATGAGAAAAGTCAGTTTATTGTCCCTGGGTTCTTTTTGAACTTGAGGAACATGGCATCTAAGTTCCTCATTTTATATGAGATGAATACATCATCTAAGAACAGGGCAAAGTCAAACATCAACTTCACAGGAAAGAATACATGAGAGGAGTTGACCCTCAGAGTTCAGGTTGTATGAAGTGGGAAACATTCTAGAAAGAATGGTTACAATTTGATTTTTGGCTATTACATACTATGATGTTTTCTAGTAGGCTATAAATCACTACGTTAGCAATAAATCTTATTTTGTGTAATACAACAATTAATAGCACTCAGTAATATTAGAAACTGATGCAAAAAAATTCATAGTCATCTGGTTTCTAAACCATAAAAAATTAAAATGGCTAACATTTTTTTTCTAAAACGGTCAACCAAGATAGGTCACTGTCATTTCTGATGTTGGTGATAAACATGTCAGAGAAAAAAACATGATTATAAAGCACATAGAGTAAAATCTTGTACCTCTCTATTGTGATTGTTGGAAACACATACCCAATGAGGAAATCCTGACAGATTCCATAGTGGTGAGAATGTTGATAACACAGGAAGAAAAATCCTACAGCGAAATATACTAGAATGATAGAATATTCTATAAAGGCCATCTGTGGTGTGATAGAAACTTCTTTTAAAACTCTGAATTCTATTTTAGACTCTGAACAATTTTATTGGGTGGCAAGTATTTTTATAATTCCCACCTACAATATGCATTTATTGTTCTTCTAGGTAAGGGGAGGGGCCCTTGACAAGGGTAATAAACTTACATTACATTGTTAAATTCTAACTTTAGGCCAGCTATATTGTGGTATAATAGTAATACAGTGCTCCATGTTTTCACCCATTATTGCATTGTTAACAGAAATACTTGAGATCAGGTGATTTATAAAGAAAATAGAGATTTATTTGCAAAACATGATTCTGGAGCCTGGAAAGTCCAAAGACACCACAAAAAGGGGGAAAGAAGAACTCTAAGCAAAGCAGAAGTGGTGTATGCCCAAGAATTTTTCTCTCTTGTTCTGGTGTCATTCTCTATTTATAAACCTACCAGGACTGCATCATAGGGGCCCCACCCTAATGACCTTATTTCACTCAAAGGCCTCATCCTTTGAGTGAGGCCATAAAAAGATTAAGTTTTCACTTAACACCTTTCTAATACAACCATGATCCAACACATAAACTTTTGGGAGACAACCAATCACTGTCCACTAAGACCAAATTCCAAAACGTGACCCTTGGCACGACAAACCGTTATCCAAACGTATAACACTCCCTGATGCTGAGGCCACATGGGGTGGTTCCAAATTTATGGCCTGAGACACAGGTCCAAGATCCTGGCTGGCAGAGGCTGAAAATCAATAGCAGTGTGAAGATCCAACTGGGGTGCCTGTCTCGGACTCTCAGTGGAGGAAATAGATACATTTTCTTAAAAATCCTAACTCTAGATTATCAAACCTATAGAACATATTAGCAAAGTAACTCAATACAATTAAAATATAATTTCAGCTTATAATCACCCTGTTCTTTTTAACTTTGCCACAGAGGTCACAACGAAAAGAAAATGAGCTCTAAATGCCAAAAAATTTCTTATTAAAAGAAAAACCTAATACATTGCTTATCTCTTCACACATAACAAATGCAAATGTAAGGAGTCTAAAACAGAACTATGAAACATCAGGACTGCATGCTGTGTGGTCATCAGTAACAGGTACAATACACAGATCATGACAGTACCAAGATACTGACAATGTCTGCATAAGGAGATGCATTGCAGATGGCTGTCAGTCATGTGTCCCAGATCCTGATTCTTTCAGGATATCAAACCACTATTTTACTTAGGAATTAAAGCCAGTAACCAATTCAGTTCTAGACAGTGAAGGTGTTACTCAAAGAAGTTTGAGTGATGGTTAATTTATAGGTTAAGCTATAAAAGTAAGTCTCTATTGTGTCTCCCTTTATTGAATGAGTTTTTCATTAAGGATTTAAAAATATTCCTGATTAATTATAAATAATCAGACTAAAAATGGGGAAAAAACAAGCAAGAGGACATTAATGTAAAGAAAAAAAAATTAAATCTTGAAGAAAAGTGACAGATACTTTATGTCTCATGAGTGCAACAGAATTCCTAGTTGAGAATAAATTATTATACTTATCAACAATTTCAGACCTGTGGCCTCCTATTTAATAAGTTGAGGAGCAGTTTCATGAAAGGATATGCCACTGAGTTGAGATAGTTAATTCAGCTTCTCAAAGGGCTCAGGTTTACAGCTGAAGAGCAGCTCAGATATCTGAATCAGTAAGCATAATTTCAATTTACAAAAGGGTACCTCAAGAAAGAAAAATTAGTCATTTTCCCTGCTTCCTACTCCTACATGTACATGTGAATATATAGAGGGAAGGTATCAGAATTGAGATAAGGCTTGTTGGTATTCATTCCAAATAAGTAAACATTAGCAAAGGTAATTTTACATTTCTTTTTTATTGATTGAAAGTAAAAGATTTACTGAAATGCTACAATTACCATTCCAGGTCTTCAGAAAGACTGAGATATCAGTATCTACCAAGATACTAAGTGAATAAAAGATCATAAGATCAAACTTATACAAGATGAAGCGTGGGTAAGTTCATAGATAATGGCTTTTAGAATATTTTTGATACACTTAAGTTTATATTATTATGACATATGTAGTATACTACTTCTAAACATAATTTGGAAAAACAAAGAAGCTATCTTTATACCTTCTAATTAATAAACCAAGCGATATTAGAACAAAGAAGGCCATCAAATATCCATCTTAAAAAAATGGTTACATTTAACAGAAATAATCATACATGACAAATTATTCAAATTCTAGCTTAAAAAGAATCAAATAATTGAACAGGGTGGTACAATTTCTTAGAGACATTATATATATAATATATCCTAGCTGCTCAGATGGCTTCACAATATGGTCTAGGATCTCTAAAATTTTAAGCATACTGTCATCCTCTACTTCTTAAAGAAAAGTTTGATAACCATTTGTTTATAACAATATTGAATTTCAGACATCTGACGCTTTGGCTAGACAACTGTATTTTGAAAAGCTTACACATTTTAAGCTGTGTAACAATGAGAACCAAAAAATAAAACACATATTTGCATCCGGCAGAGCTGAAAGCAGGTGTCTTTAGTTGGGCAGATCCACGTTCTGTAGGATGAGGGCCACTCGGCTTGGAATGTACACCTAAGTAAACACAATCACGTCAGTGCAGCTGAAAGAAATACTGGGCATGCCGTCATTATATCAAAAAGACAGAGACATGATGCAGCCTTGCATTTGCCTAAAAGTTAGTTATAGCTACAATGCTACCGGCTCTGAGAAGGCTCGATTGGACCATTACAAGAGTTCTGTCAACATAAAGACTATTTTAAGGCCATCACCACTAGAGGGCTCCATATGATTTGAAAAAAAAATTGATTAACCATGTGTGACATAAATGCCACTCTCACTGCCAAATTCAGACACCATCAGGGTAGTGAAACAAGACTGCCCTACAGTTCATGACGTTACCCTATTTAGATGAATAACAGTGATATGTTTTATTTATAATACTGTCTTCTTTTTCTTCCTGTCATTTCAAGTATAAAAACTGAAATGTAATATAAGGGATACAACATGCAAATTACTTTAGGCTCCTCCTCAAAAAACTTGCTATTGCATTTGAAAGAGAAGAAATTTGTTTTTTCATGCACTGACTCAACTTCTCCTTGCCTACATCTGCTCTCAGCTCAGCTTTGTCACCCACTAAGTCCTAGACACAGATGTCTTGCAGTTCTTTGAATATGCCAAATTCTTCCTTCCTCAGACCTTTGCCTATGACATGCCTTCCACTCCAAGTACTTCTTGCCACATTTGGATCTTCAAAACTCACAGCTCCATGGAGAGGCTTTCCTTGACAACTCCAGATTTAATAGCCCCCCCTTCTCTCTCTCTCTCTCTCTTTTTTTTCCTATTGTAGCACTTTTTGTTTCTTTCTGAACATTTAATCAATTCTTTTTTTTTTTTTTCAGGATTTGTATCTATCCTCCCCACTGGACTGTGAAGTTTATGAGGGCAGACACAATCTGTCTCTTAATTTTTAACCCCTGGTAGGTGCCACTAGACCAAGCTGGTGCCAATGATGACATGATAAAAGAATGAATAATGAATAAAGGAGTAATAATGGATCAGTATGTGTACATTGCACAACATAGTCTCTAATATACTTATATCTGTAATAATTTTTAGAACTTGGGAAATAATTTGAACAGCTCGATACTTATCTGTGTGCTATACTGTACAGAACATATTTAACTATTAATGAGGCAAAGAGTAAAAACGTTAGAGTTGTCACCATTGTAACAATCTTTCCACTATGACTTTACTAATACTTCACTATTTTCAGTCACTTTATCTCTTAAGTAAAACCTTGACAGACAAATGAAAAAAATAAAGGCTTTTATAATTTAGAACCAGAAAGACAGGTATAAAACAAACAGCTTTAGAAAAATATTAAAATAATAGAACAGCTGATTTTCACTGGATAGGATTCATATCTATGACAATTCTCAATTCTGCAAATGAACACAGTGACTTTGTTTTCTCTTAGGTTTTTGTGATACACCAATACAATTGGCTAATTTTGAACATCAATGATTAAAGCAATATTTAAATTTAAAGAAATTTATGCTACAAATATAATAGCTAGAGAAGTTTTTTTATTTCTCATTAAACTTTGTTTTAATGGGTCTCAAAATTCTGTTGGCTAGAGAACAGTTTTTATAATCTTCAATTTAAAGTAATAATGATTTAGAAAATGATAACTATCTAAGAAAATCTTGAAAAATGCTAATGTTTGACTGTGTAGCTCAATGTCTCACAGTCTGATTTGCAACCCAGTATTTCTAAAAAGATAACTATTATATCCCTACAGTCATTAGGTGTGGGGAAGCCGTATATTTCAATGCCACAATGTGTTTCTATATAATTTACACATTGTATTTAATGTCTTAGAGTTTTCAAACCACTTGGAAATTTATCTCCTAAAATAATTTCTTCTATGCAATGTTTTCTCTTTTGACTGCGAACGGTAAGATAAAATGGCTGGAAGCTGGAGGTACCTACGAACAAAGCAGGACTCTTACCAATGAATCAAGTAGGTCAACCCAAAGAACCGTATATTTCCACAATCAAGCTACAGACAAAAGCAACACAGACCATCCCAAAGGAGGAGAAGTAAAAGAAACCCAGTCTGATTCCCTCCTCAGCCTTATAAACAAGCCTGAATCAAGAAAGGGGCCTGCTCTTCCAAAGGAGGCAAGAGTTCTACTCTATGTAGGTTGCGGATCACAGTAAGTAGGCTTAAGTACTCCTTGGGGTAGCAGGTTATAATCAGAATGGTTCTGCCGTAGCAACCTAAAACTGAAAATCTAAATGTCTCAGTATCATTAAGAAATGTACCCCCCCAAAAAAATCCAGTTACTTCTACATTATAAACATTTCTATGATATGACATTGTCCAATAATCCAGATAAAAGGGCTCTGATAAGTGCAAATCTTCTGAGAAAGTTGCAATGAAACACATTTGTCACGCTTTGGACAAATAATGAAACCTTTCTCTCATGTGTGGTACAGTAATATTCCAAGACAAGTCAGTTCATTCTCCTCTTTGGATCCTATGCAATTGTGCAATCTATTCCATTTGGTTCCTAAGTATATAATAATTTTGCTAATAAAATTCAAGTAATAACTATATACTGATGACTTAGCAAAATTCTGTTGGCTAGAGAACAGTTTTTATAATCTTCAATTTAAAGTAATAATGATTTAGAAAATGATAACTATCTAAGAAAATCTTGAAAAATGCTAATGTTTGACTGTGTAGCTCAATGTCTCACAGTCTGATTTGCAACCCAGTATTTCTAAAAAGATAACTATTATATCCCTACAGTCATTAGGTGTGGGGAAGCCGTATATTTCAATGCCACAATGTGTTTCTATATAATTTACACATTGTATTTAATGTCTTAGAGTTTTCAAACCACTTGGAAATTTATCTCCTAAAATAATTTCTTCTATGCAATGTTTTCTCTTTTGACTGCGAACGGTAAGATAAAATGGCTGGAAGCTGGAGGTACCTACGAACAAAGCAGGACTCTTACCAATGAATCAAGTAGGTCAACCCAAAGAACCGTATATTTCCACAATCAAGCTACAGACAAAAGCAACACAGACCATCCCAAAGGAGGAGAAGTAAAAGAAACCCAGTCTGATTCCCTCCTCAGCCTTATAAACAAGCCTGAATCAAGAAAGGGGCCTGCTCTTCCAAAGGAGGCAAGAGTTCTACTCTATGTAGGTTGCGGATCACAGTAAGTAGGCTTAAGTACTCCTTGGGGTAGCAGGTTATAATCAGAATGGTTCTGCCGTAGCAACCTAAAACTGAAAATCTAAATGTCTCAGTATCATTAAGAAATGTACCCCCCAAAAAAAATCCAGTTACTTCTACATTATAAACATTTCTATGATATGACATTGTCCAATAATCCGGATAAAAGGGCTCTGATAAGTGCAAATCTTCTGAGAAAGTTGCAATGAAACACATTTGTCACGCTTTGGACAAATAATGAAACCTTTCTCTCATGTGTGGTACAGTAATATTCCAAGACAAGTCAGTTCATTCTCCTCTTTGGATCCTATGCAATTGTGCAATCTATTCCATTTGGTTCCTAAGTATATAATAATTTTGCTAATAAAATTCAAGTAATAACTATATACTGATGACTTAGGGACAGTCTTACTTTCTTTAATGTTTTGATATTTTAACTAGCCCAAATTTATAAGGAAGGGGGAAAATGTCATAAGTTCAAGATTTGTAATACATGCATTAAGTTTCCTTTTTTTGTCATTTAATAGTTAAAAAAATACTCCAAGAACTCTCACTAAATGAGGCTGGTCATTTTATGTAAGGAGTTTTATGATGCCAATTTCAGTCACTCTTAGAGACCTTTTAATACTATCCATTCAAAAACCTTCAGTTGATAATTGTAAAATATCATTAACAGGAACATTGTGCAATTATATTTTCTCACTGCAGTGTTAATTACCCGAATGTGTTTATGTTGCTCTAGAGGCCGTGTGGTACAAGCAACAAGAAAGAATTTCCTCAAGCAAGTGATTTTTCTTAACTATGGATATTTATGAAATTTTGAGTATTTTCCTTTATTAGGATTCTGAATATGTAAATCAATTTCTTTTGTTAGGAAATAACTACCAATTATACTAGAGGACCTATGATAATCAGAGTTAATCCTTATGGTAAACAATTATGGACTTGAACAATTTGGGGTCCCTAAAATTTAGTGCTAAGCACTGAGTCTGTAACTCTTATTAATTTTTTTCTTTTTTTGAGAGGTTTTTGCTATAGGGTACATGCGCTCACCAGAAAGACAGAGAAAGGGGGATAGAAAGTGAGAAATCACCCCCCCAGTGGGGATGGGCACACTGCAATCCCTTCTCCATTCTCCTCTTGGGATCATGGGCACGCACGCACACGCGCCGCGCATGAGTTTAAGCCACCGGGTCCAGGACGCGAACTGCAGTCGACTACATGGGAGCCCAGCGACACAGTCATTACGCTAACTGCTGGTCCCTGTAACTCTTATTTCATAGTTTTAATTTAAAAAATAGTTTTTATTCACACAGCTAAAGAAACAAGAATATAATTTAAGTACATTTAAACATAAATATTTAAGTATATTTAAATACAAACAATTTGTATTTAAATACATATATATAGAAACGATTTAGTATGCATGTTACAAATAACAAATGCTGTGACCCTTCATTTCTATGTACTGTGACTCTTTATTTCCTTTTTAATCCTAAGCATGCTGTAGTGAAGACCATATTAAAAGAACACAAGATTGGCCAGCCAGTGGTGTGGTGGTTAAGGTGGCTGGATCCCACAGGGCCGTCTACATGGTTGGAGTACTGAAGCCCAGCTTGAAATACACTCTGGGCACGTGTGTGTGTATGTGTGTGTGTGTATGCACATGCCCAAAATCCAGAGAGGAGAATAGAGATGAGACTACAGTGTGGCCATCCTCCTGCGAGGTGATTTCTCACTTTCCCTCTTTTTCTCTGCCTCTTTCTGGCAAGCACATGCACCCTATGATAACTAAAAAGAAAATAAAAATCATATGAGACAACGTAATATGTGGTCACGAGTTTCATATTTCCTAGCTATATTCATGGGCAACTCTTTAGTAGCATAGCATAATAAAATTTATTTGTTAAAAGCATTAAATGAATGTTAATCAACCTAGTTATCCTGACCACTTTAATGACTTAATTACTACACTAACCATAAGTAATGCTAAAAAAAAAAACCCCAGTTGATCATACAATATTCTATTATGTGATCCAAGGTGTTATTTTCCTCTAGGCTCATCACTGAGTTGCAAAAATTAATTACACGGATTTTGAAAATGAGGATTCAAATATTTGAAAAGGCAAAACTTAAAAACAAAAGAAACAGTTTAACACTTTAAAGGTTAATGTTTAAATTTTCTTAGAAATTGTTACACTTAGCAACATCACATTCAAGTGTAACCTTGGTATTATATAACATCATTTAATGAAAAAGGCATCAGGCCCTTCATGAGTCTACATAGACATGCTTCCAGAAAAATTTACAAATTATTCTAGAAAATACAACCGACATATAAAAATTTGCCTTCACATATATGCCTTAGTTCATAAAATATTTCCAAGAAAAATATTCTCACATTCATTATTTTGTATCAGGGTTAGAAGAGAAAACAGATAATAAATACTATTAAGTATTTCTATATGGAAATGTGTATTACCTCATCTAACTGGAAACATTGAAAAAGTTATATTTAAGAATTGAGAATTTTTAATCTGAAAAACAAGAAACATTTTTCATAGTTTTGGATAGAACAAAGAAAATTTCCAACAGTTAAGTTGTAGTTTTAAAACTTACTACCAATACAAAAGATACATTTATGCTGAATCCTTTACTTAAACCAAAAGTCTACTTCGAACTCCCAAATTTAGAATGGAAGTAAACAGAGCTACTTTTAATTGAAAAGGGGTCTAAGTGCAAAGTGACTGATGCTAAACCTATAGCTCTTATTCACATTGTCATCATTGGGACTGCTTCAGTCATTATAAAGAAATTAATTCATTTAGGAACCAGCAGTTAGTGTAATGGCTATGTCACTGGACTCCCATGTAGTCGACCGTGGTTCAAGTCCCGGACCCAGTGACTTAAACTCACGCTGGGCGCATGTGCGTGTGTGCCTAAGATCCTGAGAGGAGAATGGAGGAGAAGAAGGGACTGCGGTGTGGCCATGCCCTGTGTGGTGTGATTTCCTGCTTTGGGTCTTTCTGTCTCTGTCTTTCTGGCGAGTGCATGCACCCTATAGCAAAAAAAAAAAAAAAAAAATTAATTCATTTAAACCCCAATAATCTGTGATTTACCATTGTCCCATGGAATTTGAATTAATGAGCCAGAAAAGAGAAATGAAGCCTCCCCACTCCAGTGCACTGATTAACAAAACAGGTTAACACAGAAGTTCTTACGTTAGGGACCAGAAAACAGAGAAAAGATTCTGCTAAAATGGAGTTTCCAATAACTGCCAGTAAAGCAGAATGGAGAAGTTCTGCCCTATCGCTTTTCGGCATTTGTGAGCTACTCTGACCTTAGCAAATACGCTGCAATGGTAGTACGCATGCAGTTATCCCCTGGCTTCACAGTTTCAACTGACGGAGCACACAGACACAGTGCTAGCAGTACCTGCTGATGCTGCAGCATGGATGGCTATTTTAAGATTCCTTCGAGCTCTGTTTGTTGCTATCTTTGAAAACAGATTTGACACTTATTCAGCAGATCCTTGGGATTATTGAGCTTGCAAATTAAGCTTTAGCAAATGCTGTGTACTGGTTATGATTGGCAGAAATTTTAAGGAAGAGGGAAAAGTTATATTTTGTCCTCGATTCCCTTCCTTTATTCTGGGAGTGTGGGAGGCACGAACGATCTCACTGGCAGTGGCATGAGACCTATAATACTTAGCAATGTTCAGGCAACTCAATTGGATCCCAGCACATATGAATCAATTGAATAAGGAGTTCCTTTATAATAAGGCGCACTTATAATAGGTACTTTTATAAATGTGATTTCCAACCCTCCGGTCCTTGGCAAAATAACTCTATCAAGATGAGAACCTGCTTTCTTGGATTTTTCTACATTTTACTGTTCTGTTTGGCCTCACTTATTCTGATATAAAAACCAGTGATAATTTCATCTTTAGCTTAAAGACTTATTTAAATCAGTAACTCCTGGAGCACCTGTAGTCATCGAAAACAAAATGTTGTTGCTGAGAAGACATGGTCACCCTTATCTTCCTGCCCGAGTTGGATCAGAATTTTATTACAGGCTGTAGTTAGGCTTTTTTCCCCTCTCTCAGTTGCATGTGGTGTTGTATTACCTTACAAATTATTGAGACTTAGGATATATTCTCCATTCTACATGCTAATTTAGAGCTGTACATTCTATATTTGAGAGATCAATTTAATTAGTGCTTGAAAAGTAATCTCCTGACTGCTTCTGCCACTGTTAGCTGACTTGTTTTAATTAGGACAGAATATCTTTGCTCTTACAGAATCATTGCCCACTGCTAAAGACTATGAACTTTTCACTGAGATTACAAATGTCCCAAAGTTAGAAGAAGGTATTCTTAATGGTGCTACCTCAAAGCATTTATTGTCTTGTCATATTTAAAATCCCCAAATAATTATCAGATAGCCATGGCAATAACTTTTAAATACATGTGCAATAGCATTTTGTAGTTTCTAAAAAGGTTAACCGTGGCAATGAGTTTATGCTTTCTAAGACTCTCTTGCTGTAGGAAGGACACTCTTATTAATCCTCATTTTATAGATGAAGAAAACTGATGTACACACAGTTAAATTACTCAGTCTTAGAGCTAGTAAATGGCAGACTAAGGGCTTGATCCCAGAGCCTATCTCAAGGCATTCTGTGACCATTTCACTATGGCATCAGGACTCTCTCCATTACAGTACCCCGTTGGGATACATGAGTGTTGGGGAAAGTTGGCCATGTAAGAGTTTTGCTATCTAAATGTTTCAGACTCCTGATAGTCTAGTTCAGCTAGCTAAAATTTAGTTGTATCATAATCAGTTGCTGCTTCTCAAAAGTTATTTGTTGTTGTTGTTATTTCAGAGCTTTAAGATAATTTTCTTCTAAAATTATTTTTTATCAACATTACTTTACATGTCAAAATGGAATATTCTGACAAATGATAGCAGTAATTCTTTGTCGAATCTGATTTGAGTCCTCTTAAAAATTCATAGGTTTCTCTCTCTCTCTCTCTCTCTCTCTATATATATATATGTATGTATATATATATATATAATATAATATATTCACATAACATTTATATGTTAAGCTATGCCAGTGTCATCACCAACACATACCCACATGTAGGGCACACACCTAAGCCTCCTACAGCTGTTGCACTTTCCACACAGCCTAGGACTGAACAAACCCAATCTTCGTAATCCTGTTCTATTTGTCTACTTTAGGCCACTGTCTTTGGCACATCAGTTCTGTCCATAATATGGAAGACTACATAGTGAAGTGCTGGTACCAATCAAAGAGATGGGAAAATAGAAGAAAAGTGGGAAATCGAGGAGTATCCAGAGATTCTCTTGTCTGACTTACACAACTTTGAAGTGAGAGAATTTATTGAAATCAGAGCTTAAACACCTATTAAAAAAAAGCCATATATTGGGTTGTGGAAAAGTCATAACACATATTGGCATAGAAAAACATGGAGAGATATGTCATGACTTTTCCAGCAACCCAGTATTTGCTAGATACCTTCTAGCATCAGAAATGCAAAACACAGTGTAAGCCAATGTGTAAGTCAAAAAAAAAAGAAAAGGCACAGCCGAGACAGAGATAGAAAGGGAGAGGGAGAAAGAGAAACAGGATGATTCAGGGGGAAAAAGATGATGTAGATGAAGCCTTAAACCTGCTATATGACCAAACATTAAATGACAAATTACTCCACATCAAGAGAGTTGCTAAATTTTACATCTTTAAAAGAATTTGCACCTGGTAGTTTACAGTGGTATTTCATCATTTTTGTCAATATCACAGTGTAAAAACTGTTATATAATATAAAGCTTTCCTCAGTACCATAAGGAAACCAGAGAATTTTAAAACTGGCGTGAATTCAGTCTCTAATATACACAATGAAACAAACAAAAAATTTATTGATTCTTTTAAGGTGTTCTAAATTAAACTTCAGTAGATATTCAGAAATATAGAACTCTGCTTAACATATGGAGAAAGCAACAACAGAAGGAAAAGAAACTGCTGCATAAAGAATAGAGATATTCGTAATTGAAGTAAAAATTTAAAATAACCTTCTTATTTCTTGAAAAATCATTTTTAATTCTAATAATATATTTTCAGGTTGTCCCCTAAATATCCTTGACTACAGGTTTCCAGGTCCCAGTTTAGTCCAGCTCCACACATTCCATTTGGTTTTCCAACACAGGCCCTTCCCCAGTACACCGTCTCCTTTTTTCCACGGTTCTTATTTCATTCAAAGAGTTGTTTCTTCGAACAAAAAACATTACTATAAAATTAAAGGATTAAATTAACATAGAACGAAAATATCTTATGAGTCTTACTTACCAAAAGAGAATAGGGGCGCCCATTATGTTCGAACGCCTCAGAAAAGAAATCAGTGTTGTGGTCCAGTCTCTGGTGTCCTCCATACTCTGCTGCATCTGAATCTAGTGCAATTTTGAATGTATGGTTCTTAAGGAAGTCACAACGGTTCAGGAGTTGAAGGAGACATTATAAACTAAGTCTGAGACAGCAATTTAACAGTGAATATTCTGAATCACGGTTTGTACCATGTACTTATTTCTTCTTCAGTATCTCAGAGATATTCATATTTAAAGAGGCTTTTTAGGCCCAGTCCACATATCCGTGAGATCCTTGTTATCTTTCATCCCAGCTCATCAAGTGATCATCCAGCCTGGGTCTAAATATACCTATTAACAGAGAATCTACTTTTCTCTTAAAGTAACCTATTCTTTTTCACACTGAACAGCAATATAATCCCTTGGGACTATTTTTACCTAGAAAATCAGTTTTAGAAAGTTCAATATATAGTAACCTTTCAAATATTTAGTAATAGCTTTGCTATTTCCATTATCTTCCAAATACATTAGTATTAATACATATTAAATTTAACATTCAAATCTTTAATCATTCCTTATTTAACAGGGTATTTTACTACTTCCCAATCTCTGAATTCATTTCAATTTTCTAGATCTTGATCATTAAAGTGAGGAAAAAAGGTTCCAGATGGTGGTGTGAAGCTCACTCACAGGGGAGGGCTTCGGGTTTGCATCCAGAGACTTCCTTGAGCATGTCAGGCACACACATCCAGATCCTGGTCTAGCTAAAACTAGGGGTGGGTCATGTTTCAATACTCTGTGTGTCTTTGCCTCTCTCTCTCTGTTTCTCTTGCTCATAGAAGAAACAAATAAACTTAACAATAGGGCAAAGAACACAGAAATGAACAAAACTTCTGGATGTGGACTGAAAACTGCAGATTGAAGTAGTCTTACTCCCTCATGCTAGGTATAGAAAGCACCTACTGTCAATGCAACATGATCAAGTAGAGATAGCATGCTTCATGTCACAGGTGAACTCATGTGGCAATCATGGGTTTCTTATAATTTAGTACCTGATTTTTCATAGTGAGTTATTAAGCATGTTATCATCACTGTATTAACAACAAAACAAATTAAAATTATCATATTATAAGTATATTATGCTCAAGATATCTAGAAATGGTACTTCATACAAAAACCCATAAGTAAATACATATCAGTATTACAAATCTTAATTTTCTTCTAGATAATAAGAGATACAGATAAGTTTAAATGAATTTTGTTTTCTCACCCTGGTATATTTTTTAAATGGTATAATTTTTTAAATTTTATTCTTTTTTACTTCATAAAAGTTGCATTAATTTCATTTAATTATCTTTTTTAAAGATTTTTGCCATAGGGTGAGTGCATGAATCAGAGAGACAGAGAGAAAAAGAGAGAGACATTGAGAGGGAAAATGAGAAATCACCCTCCACCCCAGCAGGGAGATCCATGCCACAATCTCTTCCCCTCCACTATCCCCTTGGGTTTTAGGGCCTGCATGCACAAATGCCCAGCATCATTTTCAAATTTTCAGGTCAAGGACTTGAACCATAGTTGGCCATGTGGGAGTCCAACACCTTAACCACCATGCCACTTGCTGGCCCCATTAACTTTTTCTTTTTATTTCATAATTTCTTATTTATATTTAATTGTTGTAGACCTTTGTGAGGTAGAATATGGATTTTTCAAAGCATCCATGCAGTGTACAATAATCAAATCAAGAATAATATCGTACTGTTTTCACTCTACGGTAGAGAGCGAAATATTGGAGGACATAAAAGCATTGAAAGTACTTAACAAGAATAAGACAGTGTGGAAGGGGGGGAAGGGCGAAGAGAAGAGGATAGAGAAAGATAGCAAGAGAACAAATAGAGAGGCATGACGTTAGTGGGAAACAGATTTAGCTTATTACCTGTTGATGATGGCATGTATAGTATTCTCAACTGGATTGGTCTGAGAAGTATTTCATGTAAAGTCTTTTTACAAGCTAAATGAGAAATAGTGATTGACTGTTTAAAAAATAATTAGAATAATAATAATAATAATAATTGGGAAAACAACATTGAAAAGATATTGAATGATGAAAGGGGAGTTTAATGTCTCTCTATTGACTGACATGCATGGCATTCCCTTTTGAAAAAGCAATGCAATACACTGTAAAGTTATATGTAATCCAACATAATATAAAGAAGATTATGATGATAATAAAAAAATTTAAAATGTAAAAAAGAATAAAAAAATTAATATCGTACTACTTTTAACAAAGAGCATCACATTATAATGTGTACCATTAAGTTTTGTTCTAACAGTTGTTCTTTCTGTTTGAGATATATAGATAAAACATTTGGCAATGTCTGTTTTTTTTCACTCAGGAGTGGTATGCATGAGAGTGAGATAAAGAGCACCCTCAACAGGGTCACATCATGCTGTGATCCCTTCCCTAGCCTGAGAAAACAGTCCAAAAGAATGAGAATAATATTTGAGAAATACTAGACACATCAAACGTCCAAACGTCTGGGTAATTGGTATCCCAGAAGCTGAAGAGACTAATAAGGGTATTGATAATATATTCCATAAAATCCTGGAAGAAAACTTTTCAAACCTAGAGAGGCATTCAAAGATACACAAAGGCACACAAAAAATACAAAGGACCCCAAATAGAATCAACCTAAGAAGGGTCTTCTCCAAGAAACATTATAGCCAGAGACTGAGCTTATTAAATAGATTTTTATGGCTTTTGGCTAAAACAATACTGATCTTTTTCTATGCTTTGTAGTCCAGAGATTATGATTTTTGTCTTCTCTTGAATTGGCGATAGATCCAGGTAACTACTATTTGAACAGGATCCTAACCTGCTTCCTGGCTTTGAGTCTTAAGCAAAGCTCTCTTAACATTTTTAAATTTTGATTTATTAAAGCTAAAACTGCCTTTCTTGAAATTAAAAAAAAAATCCCTATTTAATGGCCACAGTAAGGTATATAACCTCAGCTAGGTGCTATTTTATAGTATATTCATTCTATTCACAGTTTCATGCCTCAAGTCAAACATTTGTTCACAGATATTTACATATCAGCTGAAATATCAGCTGAACTTGGTATTGAAAGTAGTTAGAGCATTTAAGATATTTTCTTAACAATAAAATGTGTGAGAAAAATAAAGGAATGAAAAGCAACTGTAGATACCAGAGATAGAAGTGGGAGGAGGGTTGGATATGACAGAGGGTAAGAAATGGGGGGAGGGGAATATATATATATATATATATATGAAACAAGAAATGGAAAATTATTTGTGATCATAATATTTATGACTAAGCCACTATACAGTGTATTCTGTATTCTGGATGGGAAACTGCATCTTGTACTCTGTGATGATGTTCAGTGAATGAGTACAAAAAAATTAATACATATAAAAGAACAAAAAGAAAAAAAGAAAATACATGTCATGAAAACACACATACACACACACACATGGAACCTGCATGCCTGAATATGAACACAGCATGTTTTCAGACAGTGCAGGATCTGAACCTACAGTGGGCCATATCACTTCCAGACTTTCAGGGCACTGTTTTACTGTTGTAACACAGTGGCTGCATTATACTCTTTACTCTCAGAAATGTTAGAATATTTATATTCTATCAAAAATTATCACATTAATAGTACATGTGGGTAAGGAACAACGGCCCATGATTTGTATCTCTTGAAAACCTCTATCAGAGGGCAGAGTTGCTCCATCTTACTCAGTCCAGGTCAGCCTGTTCTAAGTCACTCAATATAGTTAAGGATGATTTGAGCCTACCAAATGCTTAATGGTGAAATATGGATAGTGGAGATAAAGATTTGTGGACCAGTAGTTGGTGTAATGGCTATGCCGCTGGACTCACATGTAATTGACTGCGGTTCAAGTCCTGGACCCAGTGGGTTAAACTCATGCTGGGCATTTCTGTTTGTTTGCCCAAGATCCTAAGAAGAGAATGGAGGAGAAGGGATTGTGGCATTGGCATCCCCCAGGGGGTCATTTCTTGCTTTCTGTCTCTCTCTGTCTTTCTGGTGAGCACACATGCCCTACAACAAAAATCTCTCCAAAAAAAAAGAATTGGAGACACAGTACATAAATTAAGTATTGTGGAATGAAGGAACTACTAAAAAGTATAGCTCTAGTTCTTTATTCTAGTTCCCTTAATACTTAGACAAATCTAAAACTATGAGGTCGTTGGGAAAGTCATAACAAATTTTTCTGTTTTTCTATGAAAAAAATGCATGACTTTCCTGATAACCCAATAAAATAGCACAGTTCATTGATAATTCTGAATACTTTTTAAAAGTACTGAATTGAAGTATCAATTAATACATTACTGCTTTACAATGTAGATTTATGGCAGTAGTGGCTAAAACAAGAAAGTATATCATCAAACACAATCTGTGAAATTAAGAACCTCTGAACAGTTTTCACTGAGTGTGTTGTTATAAGGGACTGGGAATCTGTATTTACAAAAGGCATTGTGTGAAGACTAAATTATTAGATACATTTAATACTCTATTTAAAATAATTACATGTCTTTGATTATTAAAATGTAGATTTACTTTAAAGGTCACAAAACTTAGGTGTGAGAATTTTGTCTATGTATTTTCTCAAAGAACACTGGAGAGCAATTGTTATTTAAGAATTCATTTCTTTTTTGACAGTGAACGGGATCATCACATTGAAAATGATTAGACTCTACTTACTTAATACAATTCTTAGCTACAAAGAAAAAGGTTAGAAAAGTCACAAAGAAAGTTCCAAACATCAGTTCCAGCATGTTTGCTGGATCTATAAAGAAGATATTTACTATGCACATTTCCGGAATTACCCAGCTCTGTATCTGTAGACCCAGAGAACACAATGACTTCCTTAGAATATGCAACCGTTAGAGCTCAGATAGTGGTGCCATGGGAAAGCCTGATACTCTGTGAGGCTGACCCACATGGGACGATTCCAGGTTCATGTCTACAGGCTTCCATGAGTACAGTATGCACATGTGCAAGCCCATGACTGGGAGAGGCTGACACTGGCAGTAAGCTGCAGCATCAAGACTCTGTTG